ACTTTTCAAGTGCAAGCGATATTGCTGCTGAAATTTAGACAGTGAATCTTGGGATGTCAGCCTTGGTGGAAGGCGGTTCCACAGCTTTCCGATTTTATGTAGAAAGAGAGAGGAAGAGATGCGGCCATGAGAATTGAAAATCAGTTTGTTTGGTCGGCGTGTGCTAGAAGAGATATTGATGTCAAAGCGGGATAGATAATCCGGGTGCCAATGGATATACTTGAACAAAACGGTGATGGAAATGTAAATGCGTCGGAAGTGAAGGGATTCCAAATTACACAGCCTATTTAAATTATTCTTCGATTCATAGCGATCAAAATCAATCTTCGCAGATCGCAGCAGGCATCTGGTCGTACATATGTACGCTGATGAGTTCACAAAGAACGAAACAGCATGCTGTCCGCAGATTGAGTATGTATGTATGTGCAATGTACACTATTGTGAATTCCAGCAGAAATCCAAGAGAGCTCGACACCGGGAAGGTAGAGCCGTGACACACTAGTCAGAACAACAGATGGCTTGATCAGTCACAACTTAAAGTTTCATGCCATCTCAGGCACTCATCAGGTGATATGAACATCAAGAAAAATAACCCACTATTTAAAGCCCAGTATGGCGGGACAAGGATAACAGAAAGCGCTAGGGGCGCTATCAACTCATATCCGATTCAGTGTCATAGCCAGTAAGGATCGCGGTACTAAGGTGATAAAGGATAAAGGTGATAAAACTGAGCTGGCCTAGCTAGTGAGTTCCGCGGTGCAAAGATGATGATGGTGACAAGGCGGCAGAGAGCTATCAACTGGCCCTACTGCCTGGAGGCAGGGTGCCGAGAAGATCATGTTATCGGTGTTGACAGCATGAATTTATTTTGATGTCGACATTTGGATATCAACTCCGACCGCTTGTTGAGGCTCGATCTCCTGTCGGCAGTGATTATTCTCGCCTTCTCCTCGAGGCACAGGCTGAATCTTTTTGTTATGTTGCTGTAGGCCTTGGCCTTCTGGACCACTCGCCACTTGATGTCGTGCGTCTTGCCATTATCTTTTAATTCCCACACATGCTTTGAGAGGCCCGTGGATTTGCGGTATCCAGGAAGCTTGATGGATGTCTTGTGGTTCCCGTATCGAAGCTTGAATGGAGGCTCCGTACTGCCAATGTAGGTTTTGGGCCCATCGCTGTGGCCATCACTCGACACCTCCGCCGCGTAGACTATGCTGGTTGCTTGGCACGCTCCGTTGAGAGGGCACTGGTCCTTGCGACGGCAGTTGCACGGCTTGTCCGGTTCCTGGACGCACAATTGACGCTTATTGTGGCCACTGATAATGTGGGCCATATTCGGCAAACAGGAGTACATAGCTCACCTTCACATTGAAGCGGTTGAAGATTTTGTTCATTTTGGACCCCTTAGGAAAATGCTTGTCGATCAGCCGGAGACAACGCGCTGGAAACGGAGCGTCTCTGTAAGTTTGTATCCCTGGTGATGTTTGTGCCTGGAGAGCACTATATAAGTGGTGCTCTTCAGGCACAATCTTCCTCAGCCTACTCAAGCTCAACTGATGAGGGGTGAATTCCCCGAAACACTGTGTATTGAGCAGGGAGTGGTGCTTTCTTGCAGGTTTGCCGAGTCGAAGGTTCGATGGACTTCTCGTGTGCTCTGGATGGCAGTCGTGAGTCAGTCAAGTGTCAAGTAAAGTCGGCGGAATAGCGCGAGCTCCGGTGTGGGGAGCAAACCCTTTCTTACAAATTATCGCCGAAGTCGCAACCACTACTTCGTACTGTTATGCCCAGCGCGGGCTTGCGACTAGTTGGTTTGGAGGTGACAGCGTTGTGAATGACCGAGGGTCCTCGACGTCTGTCTCACCGTCCAGGAGCGACACTGACTCACGCTGCTATCTGGTGTTCACGAGGTGTTTGTCGCGCTGGAAACGGAGCGTCTCTGTAAGTTTGTATCCCTGGTGATGTTTGTGCCTGGAGAGCACTATATAAGTGGTGCTCTTCAGGCACAATCTTCCTCAGCCTACTCAAGCTCAACTGATGAGGGGTGAATTCCCCGAAACACTGTGTATTGAGCAGGGAGTGGTGCTTTCTTGCAGGTTTGCCGAGTCGAAGGTTCGATGGACTTCTCGTGTGCTCTGGATGGCAGTCGTGAGTCAGTCAAGTGTCAAGTAAAGTCGGCGGAATAGCGCGAGCTCCGGTGTGGGGAGCAAACCCTTTCTTACAAATTATCGCCGAAGTCGCAACCACTACTTCGTAAAATAAAATAAAATAAAAAATAAAATAAAAAACAAACAAACAAAGTACTAACAGTTACTGCTAACGAGAGTACTTGCTACTAACATCGGGAGGATGAAAGGCCCAACCCTGCCCTGCCAGTTACGGACTTACGGGGGTCGCCATGGCAAATAATAATGGTAAACAGTGAAAATCAATCACAGACAGGAAGCTGTCTCAGGGCAAGTTTCTAATCATAACATCAGGAAGATCGGAGGGTATACGGTACGACGGCAGCTTTGAAGCTGCTGAGAGACGACAGTACTCTGACTGCATCCGGTAGGACGTTCCAAAGGGCACTACCTCGGGAGGCAGGGCGAGATCGTCCGGCGCGGGTTCGTGTAGCTGGTAGACGGAGCCCCAGGGCGAGATGGTACGCTTTCCAACGGCCAAAGAGAGTTGGAAAGCTTGTGTCTTTGTGGGTAACCTGAACATTTGGGCTCATGCAAAATCGCACCGATTTTGGGATTTCCCCACAACTTTTTGCGTCCGCAAAAATGTTGTGCTGGACCGCATTCCTGTCACTTCGCAGTGGCTTTTCGTTGGTGCAGTTTGTATCCCACCCTCCCACCCCTGACTTCTGGGTGTGTGTTTATCGATTATATTATCGTATTGGTTTTTCTTATTGGCCATGTGGCTGTTGCAGTTACGACTGCTTTTCTTTTTTAGATATAAAAAACGTAGGGGTGGTGTGTGCGTCGTGGGCCATTGTATGGTTACATACAGCTTCAGATTGTATGGCTAGTGACAGGGGGGTTGAGTCTGCAGGGGAAGAATACAGTGATTGAACTGAAGCTGGATGATGACCGTGTGGTGAGTGTGTGGGGGGTTCGAGATGCCGTCCTGGGGCAGGGATGTCGGTCCTTTAGCTTGGACGGGTGTTGTTACATTCATTGTAACATTTTGTCGTTTTCTGTGTGTTTTGCTGTGCGACTATAGTAGCAGCAGTGTCTTGTGCTAATTTTTCTTATGATATCAGGCCCTATGCGTACAATTATTCAAAAAAGAAAGAAAAAAATATCAGGAAGGAGATATAATAATATCAATAATAAAGCCATTGCCGAGCCACCGTGCTCACAGCAGAGACTTCTGTGTGTGTTATTGTTGTGAAGTGGACCACAAAGACCCAGGCGCGTCCTACGATCCGCGCAGCGTACGAAGAGCTCCTGGAGGGATGGACTCGCACTGGCGTGTATGCACCTCCAGACAAAGACCAGGACCTTCTGCCGATGTACTTCTCCAATCCTGAACACCTGCATGCGTTCCAGGAGATCACTGGCACGAGAGAACCCCGGCCGGCCATAAACTGCTCTTGCCCCACGGTTTTGTGCTACTTGGAGCCGGTCGGTCTGGGCCTGAGTGAGACCTGGGCTAAACGCAACGGACCCATACAGTAGATCCGGGGGACATATGACTTGTAGAGTAGGGCAATATGTGCATGCGATAGATGACGGCCCATAAAGCATAACAAATTTAAAATTATTTACACGTTGGCGAAACTTTTTGAACACAGTAGTGAAATGGTCTTGGAATTAAGATTAGTGCTGATCTCTACGCCTAGATGGATTACGGTACTTTTAACATTGAGTGGTACGTTGTCCATTTGGACAGACGAAGAGGGTGGAGGAGCATAGTTGGAGAACATGGTGGTCTTGGCCGCAGAAAACTCCCCGTGAATGCCTCTAGCCCAGCGCTGGCAGCTTGTTAAATCCAACTGGAAGTTGGCCAGATTCTCACCAACAGGTAAACCGATGTTATGAGTGTTGAGCAGTGTAACATCATCAGCAAATAGATAAGGCGCGCTGTGGGTCAATGTGTCGGGAAGGGTATTGATTAGGGCTCAAACGGTCACGGTTTTACCCCTGACGGTTAACTGCTAAGCTAACGGTCGGTTAACCGGTTATAACCTATAAGCCACGGCAATCCTGCGGACTCTTTTTTAACCGTATATTTGACTATACTCATTCAAAAAATGTACCCTATTCAGTACAACGCACACTTGTACATTCCCTTGCATGCTCATTCATACATACTCTCACACCAAGAGACCAGATATGACCGAGTTGACAGCCCAGAAATTGCGTACGCGTGCGACAGCCCGCGAAAGTGCACACTTTGCAACGACCTGATACTTGAAAAATTGACTGAAAAGTTACTGCGTAACCTTTATCTTTATCGGTTAACCGTTAATTCTTCGTAACCGGTCTGCAACCGGTTAATCGGACTAATCGTTTGAGCCCTAGTATTGATGTAGAGGTCTCAGCCCTCATTTGTTAGTCTCTCTCTCTCTCTGGACTATGACGAGACCAGTACGATATTTGACAAAGCTCTCGTCATCGTCCAGTAACAATCGACATTCTTTGTTCCGTTGGGACTGTAGCTTTTGCTCGTTTTCGTTGCGCTTGGCTTCCCCTCTTTGGTCTTTCCATAACCCTGAACCTTCCAAGTTGGAAGGCTGTCGGTTAGCGCTACGGAGATGTGTGGAAGCTAGGTGTCAGGACGTCGAATGTCTCAGTACTCTGTCAGTTTTGTACCTAGTTGTTGCACTTTCTGACTGTAACCGTTATATAGTATCCAGTTACAGTGATGGAGAGTTACTCTTAACTCGTATCCATATGTCCTTTTCCTTTCTACATTACAAAGTAAAGTCTTTTTTTAACACTGTACACTGACTCCTCGTGCACGTGCAATAATGGCCTCTCTCAAAGGTAATGATAACAACCTTGGCTGCAAAAGTGATAGTGCTGTTGTTAGCAGAATGATGCACACGCCATGCAGTTCCTCTTGTCATACATGCCTGTGTGTCTTTCGTTGCAGGTTAAAATTTAAACACAAAAATTTGGTGCCAGTGCTATTACATTTTAAAATTAATATGAGATACTAGTACACTCGGCACTGGCATCATCGTGCGGGCATATGTTTCTTCAGTTCTTGCAGATTAGGTATTGCGTAAATAGTATAGCCTATGCGTGTGGGTAGAGGCTTGTTGTAAGGAAACACAGGAGATGTACATGTACATGACCCTGCTGGCTGATAGCACCAATCAGCACCAGTGTAAGCGGCTATAGAAAGTTACTGCAGTACAGACTACAGTGGCAAGATGATGAGTGCAATTATTTCTACTTTAGGTATGTCAGGGGCAGGTGGGGGGGGGGGGGGAGGGTGCTGCGTGGAACGTGCCCCCATCAGAATGCGCTACTGCCCAGCTGGCACACTCGTGACTGTCCCTTTGTAGACCTGCAAGCAATTGCTGTGGTACACTGCAACTGCAAGCATGCATGTAGTATGTACACCCGGCTGAACATGTGCATGTAGGTACCGATGTATATGCATGAAGTTGAGCCATACTGAAATTACAGCAGTTGCATGTAAGTTGAGCCATACTGTAATCACAGCAGTTGCATGTAAGTAATTAGTTGAGCAATACAGGTATCACAGCAGTCACACATTCACGCAAAATCAGTGCAGAAAAATCAGTGGTGGCTTGTTCAGCTACGGGGGGGGGGCTCTTTTGTCAGGACCAGGCAAACCTTCATTCGGGACCAGGTATACTTTTATTCAGGATTAGGTATACTTTTATTCAGGGTCAGGCATACTTTTATTCAGGACCAAGCATACTTTGCAGGCTTACGGTGCAGGTCGCTTAGGCTTTGCGAGCGTCGCAGCCTTCTACGCTCCTGCTGGGTGAGCTGCTGGTGTTTTGCCTGAGTCTGCTGGATGGCTTCCGGCCTCCGCAGAGTCCTGGCGTTGCTCACTTCCCCTTCGCGAATGTCCTCGCAGCTCTGGGAGCGTCGGCCCATGCGGTTTTCTTTCTGGAGTTGCATGTGTCGGCGGTGCTTCAGTGGCGCTGCTTTGGCCATGCTGCTGTCCGTATTGTCTGCAGCGTCGATCAACGGAGATGGTCTCCTGATGGGATTGCTCCGTGGAACTCGAGGCGTGCTCATGTTCAGCATATCGCTGCTCTCTCCTTTCTTCAGGTTGACGGTGATAGGACTGTCGGCGACCGCTCCGATGTTGAACACAGGCGCATTCCAGATGTCGGCCTGTAGCGGCTTTGGTGGCTGTAGTGAGGCACGCCTCATGGAGCTGCCTTGGCTCATCTTCACCATGGGCGTTTCGGGCTGGAACGCACCGGCTGTGTTGCGTGGTGGTGACGCAGCACGTATAGAGCTGGGCAAGGACTGCACACTCATACTCTGCACCAGTGGAGCTAGGGACTGTGTGCTGCCGTCCAGAGGGATTGGGTTCGGTGCAAATTGCATTCGATGTCGATATGGCAAGGCCGGAATTGGTGCTGGGCCACCATTCTGAACGAAGACCCGATGGGAATTCCTAGTCCGCTTTTTCCAGCACCTAGTACAGGTACACATATTGAGACCAAGCAGCAGAGACCAAAATGACCATAATGCTCCGCATACATGTACATCAAGATAATTGTGTTGCTTGCTCTGTGCAAGGAAGCTCGCACTTTTCCTGCCAAGACTTTTAATTTAAGGCCGGAAGGGCACATGACCTAGCAGGACCGCCGGAAGCAGTTTTTGATTGGTCCGGTAGTTTCATGGCCTTTTCTACTTGGTGTGTGTGATATGGCGGGTACACATGTCCTCCACAGCAGCAAGCATGTGTTGGTGGCCAAAAAGTAGGTCCAGTGATAACCTGACCAATTCTGGCGGGCCTGCCTAGCCACACTTTGTTCTTTCATTCAGGATGCATGTACCAGTATGCCGCATACATCTTTAAAAGCTGCGCACATGCACATCATCGGCTGAGGTGGGCCCACTGGGTACTACTGTACACGGTATACTGTACATGTAGATGCTCTCAGTCACTCATAGCACACAGTAGGCTCTCTGGTCCAATGACTAGAACTTGCAAGTGAGTGCACTGCACAGTACTTGCATGCGGTCCTGGATTCCTTAGGGCTTCTTGTTTTCTTGTTCTAGTTTCTCCTCAGCTGTTCATTCTGTTTACTGACTCTTGTTCATTTTTTCACACCTCATGTCTTCCTACGTCCTGCCTATGGTGGATACGAAACTACACGATGATCAGCTGAGCAGTAATAGAGCCTCATCGCCACTCTTCCCACCTCCTCGCTCTTCTAGGCCGGAGTGTGTGTTTTGCGTAAAACATTTTTTGATTTTCGCTGAGGGCTCTGAAAAGAACATGGCATGGCGCAGCCTCGAGTGGAATAGGTACTACAAACAGCGCTCTGCATTCCCATGCCGGTACCATGCGTACGTGTAGTGTGTGTGCATGTCACAGCTAACATCTGAAAGTTGAAACAAATTTTATTTAACCCCTGTCATGCGTCGACGGCAGGGGCGTCATGCACAGTATGACCAGTATGACCGTGGTTGTAGCACTATCACCCAGGATGGTCCGCCCAGATGGCCAGAGCGCCTGTAGAGCGTTAAAACGTGCACTGTCGGCCGAAAAAATCCGATTTTTCCCCTCGAGGGGCACCCGGAGCCCTGGGCGTGCCACTCCCGGCTGCCCCAGTGTGATGCGGCCCCAGGATGGTGTGCCCCGAGGCTTCCCCGTGATCCTGTCTGTCACTCACCAGCGCATTGCGCACAGTGCCAGGGCGAGGAGCACGACGGTGGTCAACACGGCCGTGTAGGGTAGCAGGATCTTGATGAGTGTGCTCATGGATTCCGAGGCCGCCGGAGCAGCTGTCGGAGGTGTTGCAGCTGAAACGCAGGTCACAAGCACACAGAACAGACATACACACATGTAACAAGACAAACACATAATTATGACAAGACAACGACACACATCTGGTATGCAACACAGAGCAGTGCCCTTACGCTTACAGGTGATACACAGACCTATTTAGTTCTTATCATCGGCGTGGAGACAACAATTTGAGTAAAGTTATGAACGGTTGATGATGAACAGTATGAGATGTGCACTTATGATTGTTATACACATACATGTATGTCTGCGAGGTCGGAAACACTAAACCGACCTGGCTGACGTGTGTGCATGCACAAATGCGCATTTGTTACCATGGTTACTGTTCATAATCATAGCTTTTTTTAGTTCTTGTGAACCATTCTTGGCTTGCAAATAACCACGCTCGATCGGGGATGCAAAAAAGTGCCACTTGTTGCATTATCAGTGCAAAAATGACGTATGTTGGAGGCTCGATTGGGTAATGCTGCATTGCAGCTTCTTCGTTTCAAGCCTTTCACCTCAGCGCCCAGATGACTGAATGTTCTGAAGCATTCCGACCCCTGCGATATTACTTTCCATTTCCTCTTCGCCGAATGTGAAAACATAACACTCTTATCGAATTCGTTGGCCAAGTACCGGGCCGACAATGATGCCATGGGCTCAGAGTCTAACTATCAGCAAGAGTACATAACCCAGGGGTTACCAGGGGTTACCAGTGGTTACAAAGAGCCGAGTCCAGGGGTTATGTACTCTCGCTTCAAGAATAAGCTTACATCGCATGAAAGTTGTCCTCAACCTTCCAAGGAGGAAGAAAATAGCCAGGTTGAAGGCTGCATATGCTGAAATTTAGGTTGCTGAAACAATCCCTTTCCTTTTTGGCGCCAGTGCTAGCGCTAGTGCTAGTGCCAGTGCTAGTGCTAGTTCATGGGGAAACACTGATGTAACCAGCTATGTGCCAAGCAAAATGCAGTACGCCATCACCATGATCACCGGGCAGGCATATACAATGTAAATAACTGTTTTTTTTTTTTGCAAATCACACGCACGATCACTCCTACTACTAGTGCGACTCCTCTCCCCTGGAACTCAAGACTCGCCGGGAGAGAGACTCGGATACGCGGTGTATATGATTGTACTATTATTGCAGCGTGTGCACACTTCGTGTCTTACCTTCAGTCATGACCAGCGGGTCTGGCAGAGTGGGAAGATCAGGAAGCCTTGGGCTGCTGTCGGAGTGGCCATTCGTACGGCCGCCGTTTGGCGATGACATGTCCGCTCCGGATGAGCCACTCCGCTCGCTTTGCTAGCAAGGAAACATAGTCTCTGTCCTCGCTCGTACTTTGTGACTAGATCAGTTGATTGGCGACGAAGACTGCCCTTTCCCTCATGTCAGCCACTGAATACCACATTCGCACATCGAGCAAGCATCGACAAGACGAAAATGATCCAGCCACAAAGCTGGAAAAGCCGTTCACACTGTACTGTACTCTGTAGCTGTAGTTATCATCTACGCTTACGTCTAGTGGCCGTGGTAGATCCTTGCAGCGACTGTTTGATTGTGGATGTCTGTCATGCACAGACTGACTACAGTACAGAATGCATGGAGATCTACAGTGACTAAAATGATTGTGACCTGGTGACTGAGTGTAGACTCTACTCTGTAGCTAGTGGTAGTGTACATAGGTATATCTACCGAGTCCGTGCTGTAGATCTATCGAGTCCGTGCTGTAGACCTACGGACAGACACTGCACTGATCGCGCGTAGATCTACAGTGGAAAGCAGGGGGGGGGGGAGTGTTCTCTCTCGAGGAAGGTTTTTCTGGCCTTAGCCGCAAAGCTCAGTGTTGGGCATACGGGAGATGAACAACTAAACTAAAGTAATAGTACAATCATGTACAGTACTTGGCTGACGTGAGTGACGTCACATGCATGTCGGATCATGTACACCCGTACCCGTAGCCATGCCATGGCTGTTCGTTGCATAGCTCTCACGTAAAAATGTGGATGTCAAGGTTGCATAACGACACTCGGCGGGGCATCAGAACAGTGTCCTTATTCGCGAAGTGTCCTTGCACCCGAAGTCTCATTATGTATACAGGTAAATGTAGATGGGACTTTGCTCTGGGCATGGAAATTATTCTGTTGTTATTCGCGAATCGTCGTTATATCCGCAGTCGTTATTAGCGAAGTAATTTTAGTTGAGTGTACATGTAACATGGCACTTTCTGAGCTCCAGCTCGAGTTGCGTGATCGGTCTGCAGTCTCAGCCTAAGTAACTACACTCAAACGCCTCTTATCCGGACGCCTCAGATACGGGCACGTCTCTCTACCGGGCACCTTCAGCTTGAGTTCCTATAGCACAAATGCTTCGAATTTGGGGGTTTTGAACTTTTTTCCGTATGAGGAAGTGCTTATTTTTCGCTGCCAACCTATGTAATCCACACATTTTTATCAATGGGTTCCTTTTGTATCCTGAACATGTGCAATACGTTCCAAATAAACTTCTTCAAAAATGATATGATACATGGTAGATGTGTTATTCTGAGATACGGGCAAATCTGAGATACGGGCAGTGCCCGGTCCCAAGGTGCCCGGATAAGAGACGTCCGAGTGTACTTACAAGTAAGAGTACGACTGGTTCAGAAATAACATGTACCATCATCAGGAACGAACGTCGACTAATACAGACTGTCAGTCAGTGTTAGTGCAATAGCATAGTGCCATTCGTGGTAGATCTACCAATACTACCCCCCCCCCCCCCCCCTGCAGCCCTGTGAGGACTGCATGCAGTGCACTGTTACGAAACTTTCGTGTGCGCTTGCGTGGTAGCTGTCTGAATCTCTGATAGTACCAAGAGGCGGGTTATGGAGTCTTGATACAGTACTGTCAGTAGTACTACTCAATGTTTGTGTACAATAGGTATTGTGGTCGTGTGCGTGTGTGACGCTTTGTGTGGGCGAGACTTGTTCTGGTAGTGATACTGATAGTACGTACCTGTACATGTACATGACTGTGATATTACTGAGTACTGATATGAGTAGTAACCAGGGAGTAGTAAAATACAGTATTAAAAATACAGTATTTTACTACTCCCTGGTAGTAACAAGACTATACTAGACTAGCAAGTCGGTGCTGGCCAAAGAAATCCAACCCCATGAATAAATAGCGCCGCACAATCGTCCTGTACTGGTCCGTGCACTCGAACGCATCGATACTTTATTCATGATGTTGGATTTCTCTGAGCTGACCAGCACTGGATGTAGTGTATTCGAAGTACGCAGACTATTACGGCAGTGACACCGTACAGACCATGTGCTAACCATGCACCATGTAAATACTGTATCTGATGATTCGTTTTTTGTGTGTTGATTCTTCACAAAAAGTGTTATTTTGCCCGTACAAGAGGCTCAGTTTTCCGTGTGAAAAAACCATGGGGCATGGAGTCGTAAAATACATTATGTACCAGTACCATGAGTACAGTGTTTACGACTCCCTGGTACTGACAGAATCATGATACAAAGTCAAGCACATAACCAGTTTGGCTTTTATGGGGCGCAAGAGGGAACACGTTTGAAAGGTGTGGAAGGCAGTGCGGAGGGAGGGAGGGAGGGAGTACGAAGTCTTCCGGGAAAGCGTCAACACTCGATAGAAAGAGATACCACTTTGTATCTGGATATGTGATTCATAAACTTTCTACGAAGAGTAGTACTAGAGGGCACGCTCTCTCAACGTGGAACTCAGTCAGAGAGTTTTTTTACTGCAATGAACTGGAATGTGCTGGAAAGAACACGAAAGTGGTAAAGGTGCACAGCAAAGCAAAGTAGAAAAGAAATTCAAAGCAACAAGGAAACAACGACACTTGTAATTCCAAATCTACTAGTACTAGCAAGAGTACATAAAAAACAAAGGTTTATGTACTCTTGGTACTAGGATGTACTCAGTACAATCATGTCAAAAACTCAGTGGTAGAACTAACAAACTAAATAAAAAGGTAATACAAGTACATGTAGGTATGAGAGCAACAGAAAGAGAGAATACTTAACTTGAAGATACCAACAAAAAAGCAAACTCAGCAAGAGAAGCAACCAACCATAGACAAATTTAGTTGACTTCTGCGGAAGGGTGCGTGTTCAGGAAGAGAAGTCTCTACAAGAAGATAACAGGAAAGAACAGGAAAGGAAAGAAGCAGGGTAGTCGGCAACACGAGAATCTATGCACTTGCTTGGCTCGTGCTTTATTGTGCCAAGCAAGCATGGATGGAGTGATGGGCCATGGGAATTGTTGTGAATAGAAACCTGCACATTTGGTCACATGCACAATCCAGAGGGTTCGTGAAGAATCCGTTTTTCTTGCATGTCTTGTTCAAACACAGCATAGACCGGGGCGTTCTCCGTTTCTAGATTTTAAAAAAAGTGCTGTTGTACGCGAGGAAAGTATTAGGACAATACTCAATACTGACAATAGTCGATGATGTTGTGTAGTACTACTAGTTGCTCAGATTTGTTCTATTCCACTACCATGACTACAGCGACCGGTGAAGCCAGTTTTTAGCTAGTTCGCTGGCTATGTACAGTACAATCACATGATTGTATGCTTGTACACGTGACCATGGTGCCGCTGTTGGGTGGGCTCTGAGTCTGAGTGTGCAGCCTGAAAATTAATGGTGGTGTCACTGCTATCGTCTCTTCACCCCTGATGCCAAACACGGCTCACAAAAACACTGCCTTGGCAAGAGAACAATGTTAACGTACATACATTGTGAACTGCAATAGCCCCCAGGGCAATAGCCTCCAGGGTTATGTACTCATGCTTGTTATTGTCCTTGCATTTAATTGTTGCCTCGGGCGGTTCGAGTTGTGGAGGAGTACGTGATATTTACCTGGGTGTCCTGATCATGATGTGGCATACAGCGCGTACATGTACCATGTCTGAAGGTCCTAATGACTGGTCCTAATTGGCCAATGTGCTTGTCCAGCACTCCATCTTTCCTCAGAATTCATCAACATTAGCTTTCAAGTGCTTTCTTTGTTCAGGATGAAAAGGACGCATTCCACAGCAATGCTGGACTTGTTGGGAAAATCGGTGACATATTTAAAAAGAGCATGACTGTACATGTATGCTGTGCCGTTGTCATATCAACAAGACTTGCAGTATCTCGGAGTGAGTTGAGTGTGTGTGTGTGTGTGTGTGTGCATGTGCGTGTGCGTTGTGTGTGTGCATGTGCGTGTGTGCGTGTGTGTTGTGTGTTTGCATCTAGTGTCTGCTTCTATCAAAACACCGTGCTGTCTATACTGGTTCCAGCAAGAAACACGGTGGAGGACACTGTGTTTGGAAACAGTGACCTTACTACACCTTGTTTCATGCTGTCAATCTAACAATATGCGTGAACTATAACAAGGTTTATCTAATACTAGTTTTGAACTAGTATTGGGTTATACATATAATGGTTTCAGCAAGTGTACGATCTGCAAACATGTAGGTACATCGTCATGTAACTGTCCTGGCCGTCCCGTTCCGATGTGCTCCGCGTAGTGTAGACCAGGTGTGCATTGAGACGGGGGTTGATTATTATGGCTTCGCCAGTAGTGTGGCTCAGGCAGTTATCTGGCGCTAGTCTTGATCTGTTTCATTCAGATCTTTCAGATCTTGTCCGCTATCATTGCTACACGAGAAAATGTATGTGTGCATTCTGTGCATTTTCAGATTTGCGTGCTTCTGTCTGTCTGTCTCTGTCTGTCTCTGTCTGTCTCTGTCTGTCTCTGTCTGTCTCTGTCTGTCTCTGTCTGTCTCTGTCTCTCTCTCTGTCTCTCTCTCTGTCTCTCTCTCTGTCTCTCTCTCTCTCTCTATCTCTCTCTCTCTCTCTCTCTCTCTCTCTCTCTCTCTCTCTCTCTCTCTCTCTCTCTCTTCTCTCTCTCTCTCTCTCTCTCTCTCTCTCTCTCTCTCTCTCTCTCTCTCTCTCTCTCTCTCTCTCTCTCTCTCTCTCTCTCTTTCTCTCTCTCTCTCTCTCTCTCTCTGTGTGTGTCTGTGTCTCTATGTGTCCCTCTCTGTGGCTCTCTCTGTGGCTCTCTCTCTCTATCTCTGTCTCTGTCTCTCTCGCTCTCAAGCTATAGAGTAGTAATATTGCCACATAAACTCACCCACAGTGTGCCCCGGGTAGACCGAGGTGCCCGTAACTTTGAGGTCCGACAAAGAGAGATTATGAATGGCATGTGGTTCAGAGACATGGCGGCGTATGTACATGATTGTACAGTCAATCTGCGGACAGCATGCTGTTTCGTTTTTTTTGAACTCATCAGCGCAGCACAGAGGAAATGAGGCCGAACCTGATAGCAATGGAAATAAAAATATCCAATCAGGCCCGAAAGTACCTTGCCAGAGTGCTCAAACTGACAAGTCAGTGAGCTCTGCATAACGCAAACAGCAAAGGCACTACCCCACGCAAGAGTGCTCAACTGCTACAAGAGCAGGAGCGAAATACTCAATCTGCGGACAGCATGCTGTTTCGTTCTTTTTGAACTCATCAGCGCAGCACAGAGGAAATGAGGCCGAACCTGATAGCAATGGAAATAAAAAATACAGATACAGATACAGATACAAATACAAATACAGATACAAATACAGAAATACAGAAATACATGATTGTACAGTCACCCAATGCTGTAGACAGCAAGCTGTTTCGGCCATAAAGGCCTCATCAGTACAGCTACGAGCTAAATAGGCCGAGCTACCAGCCATGGTGCAAAGGAGGCACCACAGACATTAAGGTAGCTCGTCGCTCGTCGCTCTAGCGC